TTGGCTCCAAAACACCAAGGGATGCTTCCTATTCGGCCAAAGACTCTTTCCTCTTCATTTTGACGCCCAAATAACTTCCAAATGCATTCAAAACATCGTTAGGGCCAAACCAACACATAACCATTTGGCCAAAAGCATTTATCTTCATTAAAATTATGTATTTTCATTAAAAATAATGTGTTTTCAAAGGGGTTTCAACTTTAGCCGAACCATCATGTGTCTATTCGGAAACTATAAATAGGCTATTGTACTTCCATTGTAAACACAACCCTTTTGATAATATAAAATCCTTTTGAGATTATTCTCTCTTTAAGTTCTTTTTAGAACTATATCGATTAAGCAAGCTTTTCTAAAGTTTGTGGTGTCAATCCCTTCCTTGATACTTCTGGTTCCTAGTTCATATAACTAGTGGGTCAAAGTCCTTGCTACCATCCCTTATAATGACTTATAAGAAACGGGTCTTTGCTCTTTATAGCATTGGTTCCTTCTTAGTCTTATAAGATACTATCTTTCCATCACCATAGTCCATCACCTTCATGCCAACTTAACCATCATTCCATCACCATCTTCATCACCATTGAACCATCATTTCTTTATCATTCAAGGCATACTTCTAGCAACATCATTTGGAGGCCGAATTCATCATCACTTGAAGGATATTTATTAATCACTTTCGCAACCCTTCTTTGATAACATTTCTATCTATTTAAATTCTTTCCATTTCCATTTCCTTTTCCTTTTTATTTCTTAATTTAATCAATTCTTCTTCTTTTGTGCATATTACTTTCAATTCAATGTGCAACATTTGGTGTCTCTCCTAGATCGGGAAACAACAAGGCTATCGATTTCTTCATTATTGAAGAAACCTGGTTAGCCTTACATCAAGCGGTAATCAGAGCTTAATCGGATTGACAATCAAGTGCTGCAACAAAAAAGAAAAAGAAAGAAGAAAAAAAAAGAAAAGAAAAGACTCCTACATCAAATTTGGAGTGCAAAAGGAAAAGAAAAGAAGAAAATTCAAAGTAATGAAAAAGTTACAAAATACACTCAAAGAGAAGCACATTACAATCTGCCCAACATCAAACTTGAAGGAGGTATCCTTGTTGTTTCTTGTGAAGGAAGATAGTAAGTGTTGCAACTTGAGTTGTAAGTTATCTTCACTTTCTTATTATTTCATTTTCCTTTTTCTTTCATTTTTTTTCTTATTTCATTACCTTATCTTTTCTTAACCTTTTTTATCCTACCTTTACCATATCTATTTCTATAACCTAACCATTTCATATAGCCGATGCAACAAATAAAGAAACTTGCTCAATCTTGAGTTAGTTCTTTAAAGGACCCACAAAGAGAGAATTGAGCGGAAAAAGGCAAACGAGAGGGTGAGATCAGAAAAAGCCAAGAACATATCCCCGAGTGCAAACACGAGTGTTGAGTGACATTTTAATTTCTTTGGAGTGTTACTGTGAGGTTTTGTGAGAGTGTTCTTGGTAAGGTCCTTTTTCACATTTTCATTCTTTATTTCACTGACAATTTTTCATCTTTTCAATGGAGTATGAACAGCAAAGAATGAATGAATTTCACACTCGTTTCCATGTAAATGGTAAAGTATGTCTTGTAGCTATTGACGGAGGAAGTTGTACAAAAATTGCAAGCACATACATGGTAAACAAATTGGGGCTTACATCGATTAAACATTCCAGCCCATATGAATTGCAATGGTTGAATGACGAGGAAGAGTTGAAGGTCACTGAACAAGTACTTTTGTCATTCTCAATTGGAAAGTACAAAGATGAGATTCTATGTGACGTGGTGCCTATGAGTATGAGTCATTTGTTGTTTGGACGTCCATGGCAATTTGACAAACGGGCTATCTATGATGGATTCACAAATCACTACTCATTCATGCACGATAAAAGAAAATTTATCTTGACACCACTATCCTCTAGCCGAGTAAATGAATATCAAAACTCGTTGAAGGAACAAATTGAAGAATAACGTTTGGAAGAAAGTTTGAATGAAGAAATGAATTTTTAAATCGAACAAAATGTTGAAAATGATGAGAATCAAATAGTGGAAAAAGAAAACGTTGGAGTTGAAAATGAGAGGAATGAATTTGGAGAAAAAGAGGAGAGCGAAGAACTAATTTTATCTAACCTTTCTTCTCTTATCCTTCCTTTTGTTTTACAGGACCATTCAAGGGACATGTCTTTTGAAGGAGATGAATCAAGAATCATGGCTTCTGGAGGACTAAAAGATTTGACTTTTGGTGATCAACAAAACATGTCTCTTGATATTTCAAAGGAAATGTCACTTGAAATGTCAAGAGTAACAACCGTTGACATTCCAAATACATTGTACATATTGAAGGGAATTCAATAACCAATGGAGTTCTCCATCATTAAGCAACCAACTCCCATTAAACATCCACCATGGTTTGATATTTCCATTAATTTTGTTTATAATTTCTCATATTCTAACTTTGATTTAATTTGCAGGAAATCAATTCATATACATGGGATTATCCTACCCAACGTTGATGCATCAAGCATGAAGGATGATTAAAAGGACACAACTTGTAAAATGAAGGAACCAAGAGGCAAGATATGTGGAAGCTTAAGAGAAATATCTTTTCAAGTGCCAAAAGCTATAACTTTTCATTCAATGGACATGATTTTTGAAGAACTAAACAATATGTCTTTTGGGGTACCAAGAGATATGATCATTAAAGACAATATATCTTCAAAATACATGACTCTTAACCATCCAACAAACATAGACAGGGATCTGTAATGACTAATAATAGTGATTAACTTCACAATCATGATATATGTAATGACTAGCAATAGTGATTAACATAACATAATTGAAAACGCAATCACAGCCACAATTCAATAGTCTGATAATGTTATTTGTATGTTCTTCGAATATGAACACCGACGTCGGTGATGTTCGAGTAATCTATGTGCTACATTAATCCAGGGAACTAGGTACTGCTGTGGATCATTTGATGGAAGAATTTGAAGCCAGATGGAACGCTGAAGTCGGTGAATATTCGAGGAAATTGATAGAATTTTGCAGTTCCAAGGCCCGCCCTAAATTATGTCAAAACATAGAAGAAAGACTAAACAATGGATCATACAGCCGGTTCACATATGACATGATGCTTACATGGGAAAACCCTACTGCCTCAGTAATCAAATTTCTACTGAAAATATGGATTTCAACTTTTCATTATGTTTATAATATCTGTGCCGAAGTTGTCAGATTTTCTGTTTGATGAGTTCGCAGGATACCATTTCCAAGGAGAATGAAGACCAGAAAATACCAGTAAATTTGCCCGCGAGCAGGATGAAATCCCTCTTTTCTATTCAGATTTGATGGCACTCCTTGTAAGTGAATTTATTTATCATCATTCAATTGCTTCAGTTTCGGTTTCTTGAAACATTGTATCCATATGTTGATGATATCCCTCTGTTCTATACTTCATTTCCTAGTGTAGGTCATTCTTGGGGTACAGTTGATTTGTGTGCTTTCTTGATAGGTTAATGATGAACCAAGTGTTGGAGAAGATGCCTTTGTGTGGTTGGGATCATTAGTTCCATTAGTTGCGGACATTGTCAATGGAAGATTCACATTCGAAACTCTATCCGCGCCTACTGGCAACCGGCTCTTCTTTCCTGCATATGATAAGTTCCAAAAAGAAATCACCAAGTAAGCCTTGTAACTTTACTCGAAATAAACAGCAACAACTAGCTAGAAATAATGAGTAAAGATAACTTAAAATTCGTTCAGGGGTTAAATTGATCAAACTTGCCAAGTTCAAGGGCTATTTTGTGTTTTATGCCTTATTCGTTTCAAATTCAGTGAGTAGAGCCCAAAATGTTGGTTTCAAATTCAGTTTGCAATCGTGCTTTATTTGTTCTCATTCAATGTTGGTTCAACAGTTGCATGAAGCATTTGCAGAAACAAGCCAAACCAGAGGGTATAGAATTAGCTGATGAGTAAATTATATTGCATGTTGAAGGAACGGCCTGGTTCATGTTTGATTTCATTTCCTGGTTTAGTAAGAATGTTCAGGCATTCAAAAAAATGTATATCTTATGATCATATAAGTCGTTACTTCGAATTTAGTTAATTTGGAGGTTAATTTTCTAGGTAGGCTTACGCTGACGAATTATGCTATCTACTTCGAGGCCTCGGGAGTATTTACATATGAAGACGCATTTAAGATTGATCTTTCGAGGGATATAGAACAGTGTTAAACCGGCTCCCACTGGTCCATGGGGTGCTCTGCTTTTTGACAAAGCCATTGTCTATGAGTCACCTGAACTGTAAGTATATGGTTGCAATGAATTATCAGTGACATTACTATCCGTATGATTTCCCAGTCGAGATATTATAACACGTAGGTAAAAGCTTACTGATCACCTGAATCTCTAAATTCAATTCAACAATGCATCAGTCGGTAAGTGCTGATTTGAAAGTTGATATAACTTCTTGACAATTAACGCCGATATTAAAGCTTATTGAAAATTTTGATTGCTCTTATTCAAGTGACCCGAGATCTCGGTTTTTCTAGCCAAGAAGTACTGCTGGAATTCCCAGAGATGACGAGCTCCACAAGGCGTGACCATTGGCTAGCTCTCACAAAGGAGGTTCTGCTAATGCACAAATTTTTATCTAAATTTAAGGAGGAAGGTCAAATACAAGTATGGGAGATGCATGCAAGGAGCATTTTGTGCATCATAAGGCTTCATGCAGCTAGAGAAATGCTCAGAATTTCTCCCCCAGATTCCACAAAGTTCTTGATTTTTGCTTTATATGAGGAGTTACCTAAGGGGGACTACGTACTCGAACAGCTTGTGAGAGTTTAAAGAGGGTAAAAATCGGACAACCTTGTAGTGCACACTCCATACTGAAGAAAATAAACTTTCCGCATCCGAATATATTGACCCCTAAAAAAAGGAGTGAACGACAAGAGTAAAGCTATCGAAGATGATATGACTTCACTAGAGACTGCCATTAATCAAACAAGAAAGAAAGAAAGGGAAGTTGCTAATGCTAAAGAAGCAATGGAGGGGCTAAAAGAAGAAGGGATCGGCGGAAACGCTCTCATTCTTGTGGTAATTACACACTTTCCTCTCAAAAGCCCCATCATTTGGTTCGAGCCAAGTAATCTTTGATATTTTTAATCGTTCAAACATATCCTTCTTTCTAAATTAGATCATAGGATTGATGTAAAAACCTTATATTTTACACTCCTCTTGTGGCATCTATAGGAGCTACTAAAGCCAATCAAGAGTGCAATCGTTTGGTTTCGAGAAATTATTTCATGGAAGCGACCAGCAGCTACCTTTGTGGCAATTACCATAATTTCAGTAATTGAGTACAAGTAAGTTTGTTCTGATGCAAATTCAAGTCTAAAGACATAATGAAGCACTAGGAAATCATGTTGTGGTTCTTGTTATTGCAGGGAATGGGTCGGGAAGTCGATATCAGCACGCTTGCTTGTATTGGTATCGAAAATGATCCAAGCTAGACTAGAAAGGCTCAAAGTCAAGCAAAAGGAGATAACTGTGTGCACTGCCTCGGAGCCGATAGGGTTGTCAAGAGAGAACATAGTTTCAGCACAGCATGGATTTATTACAACGGGATAATACATCAAGCAAATGTTACAATTGCGAAGTTGCATTCAATTCTTGTTTCAAGGGCACACGAGGTAACTCATGCAACTTCATTTTCTTTTCATACTGCAATCGGACTAACGCTCGGTTTGTTTGGTGTCAGCATGCAGATATGGTGATGTTGGGCTCGTCAGTTTGGCGATATTGCTGGCGGTTATTCCGTTCAAGTATCTGATAATAAGTGGTGTATTACATATGATAATGATGACATCGAAGCTAGGGAAGCACATGAGAAATTACCAAAGTGAGAGGCGAGTGAAAGAATGGTGGGACTCATTTCCCCCTACACCTCTTCGAATTGTGGATCAGCCTGCCCTAAACAGGTGATGAGATATGATGAGCAAAACTGTTGTTTAAATATGTTTTTGGTGAAAACATGTGCATATCTATTGTGTGAATCTGGGTTTTACACTTTATGTTTGAAGATTTAGACTGGAGCGTATAATAAGGCTAAATTACACCCAGGCGTGTGTTTATATTATTAATTTTTTAATTATTCTAATTATAACAATAATTTTCTATTGTAGTTTCAATTACACCATCAAGTCGTTATTTTAATAATATGACAAAAATTATAGGTTCTCAAATAATTTGAGAAAAACTATAGGTTTTAAATATGAGAAAATAATAGATTTTTTTTAATTTGATAAAAATTATAGAATTTAGAAGATATTATTTATTTGAAATATTTTGTTGTGTTTGAATATCTAATAATTAATTTTTATTTTTATATTTTATTAATATAATTTTAATTTTAACTTAATTTAAGAAGATTAATTCTTCATCTTAAAAGGGAGAATCGAACTTCGAAGCTAAATACACAACCAATTATTGAATCAAGATCATTAATTGATTTTTAGTTGATAACATTTATATATCTTAAGATAAATGATAGATTCAAAAATATTTATAGATTAAAAAATAATTTTAAAAAAGAATATACATTTTAATAAAATTGATGAATGTGTCACCTTGACGAGTACTGCTGAGTATTAAACAATGAGCACAATTGATTTAATTTACAAAACTTTAATGAATCTGACACGCTTGATGAATAACGTTAAATCAACAAAAATTTAATGAATCTGAAACGCCCAACGAGTATCGTTAAACATAATTAACGATAAGAATCATTGATTTAATTTACAAAATTTAAAATTTTAAAAGAGTCAACCACAATTATAAATTAATTACAATTTTTAAAAAAGTAAACAATATTTAAAATAAATATTAATTCTATTATTTTTTATATTTTTTTGAGTAAAATATACCAGTGACCATTTATTTATAGCCTCTTTTCATTTTGATCATTATTTTTGAATTTTTTTCAATCAGGTCACCCAACTATTTTAGTGTATTGTAACACCCTAATCCAATCCGACCTAAAATCCAGATGATTAGAATGTCACGCAGAACCACTTAAGTGACTAACCATGTTTTTAAACATTTAACTAATTCAAAATTCAGACATAATATAAATACCAAAATATAATACAAATACAATATATAAGTATTTAAAATACGAGGAGCTCCAAGCAACAGTCTCCAAAAAAAATATGTAATTGTAAAACAGAGTTTACGACTTAAATAAATAACAAGGGTTTAAGACAATACATGTCCACTATGACACTCGTGACGTACTCTGCAAGAAAAACAAGTGGAAATTTCAAATCTTGCGACGAGCTCCTCAACTGTCACCTAAGAACCTGTGCATGGAAACACATTCTATATGTTGAGCTCACAAGTTCAATGCCACACAAATAACTCTACTATATAATCCTTGCATCCAACATATAAGCATTTTACAAGTATAGTTATAGACATTTGCATACACAATCATAAGACCCAAAGTAAGCATCATGGAGTGGCTCGGGGTAACTTAACATCACGAAACTCACATCCAAATTTAGCTTACTAACGACCGTAGGCGAGACATGGGACACATAGCATTAATATCTCCCTATACCTTGAGCTGGGTGCGGGTCACATAGCATCTGTACCTCGCTGGGCTAGTATACTCCTCTAGAGTACTTCGGATATGCCTGGGTCACTTAGCATCGACATAACATCCAACCAGCATTTTAAGTGCCGAAGCATTGGATTGGATATATCCGGATAATCCCTTACTCAACTATAACAACGTTGTACATAAGTAATTCGGGTGTCCTTAATGTTTTCCCGAGCATCAAGCAAGGCATAAGTCTTATGAAATCCTACCTCATAAAGATCTTATGTTATCACACAATTATTAAGGTTTTCACTTGTAAGATTATTGAAAGGTTTCCATTCACTAAACCCCTTGGTTTCACTCTTTTAAGCCTAGCTAGGCTTATAGCCTAAGAATTCATGTTGGTACCGATTCTCCTTCTTGGGTATCAATATTCCCCTTTTGTATTATCGATACCTCCCTAGGTATTGATACCAAAATTGCATTTGATGTTTTAAAAATACCTCAGTATTGATACCCTTGATAGAGTATAGATATTCCCCTAAGTGTCAATACCAAAATGGCCTACTAGAATCTGATTAAGTTCTAATGTATCGATACTAGGTTCTGATTATCGATACTACCTGAGCAATATCGATACACTTTGATTGGGCATCAATACTTTCCTCACAAATCCCTTTGAAGTTTGCCTATCCACGTTGAGAAGTATCAATACTATTCTTATAGTATCGATACTTTATGGCCATAAAACTTTATTTATCTTGTCTAAAACCTACCAAAACACTTATAAGGTATCCCCAAGGGCCACAAATTGTGTGTAAAGCTTATTAAAGTTTAAGGAACATGAAAGGTTATTACTTTACACATGAATAACAAAAAATTCTCATTTTCATACTTTGAAACCCCCAAGTGCACACAAATGGCTCGTACACACACAAAAGCATCCAAAACTAAACATGCTGATCTACAAGCAATAAGGAAAGGTTAGAAGTGTGTTACCTTACATCTAGGAGTTATAGTAACCACAATAAGCTTACCCAATCACTTTATCTATTTGTCTTTCCCCATGAACTTTCACCTACTTCTCTCACTAGAATAATAAATGAAAATGAGTTATCAACCCATCTAGGATCTCAATAAAGGTAAGAACGAGATTTCTAAATCTTAGGAATGATTTAGAGCATTCCATAAGCTCTAAAACATAAAACCCTTTTTAAACCCACCCATGGCCAAACTCTAAGGTTGGAGGGCTTAAAAGGGAGGTTAAAAGATGGAGATTACCAAACTTACCTCTATATTTTTGAATTAGGAATGAGTACCAACAAAGTCTTCAATTTTGTTTACAACACCAAGGAGAAAGATGGAGAATTTGAATGAGAAATAAGACAAATGGTGAGGAAAAAGATATATGAGAGTGTTTCCCTTTTATTTGTGTTTTCCCCTATCGTGACCTCACCATTATAAAAGAAAATCAGCTTTTGAATCTTTTAAGGGAATTTTACAACTTTAATCCTCTTTTATTTAGCCCTAAATTAATAAAGCCAAATTTTACTACTGATTGGGCCTCAAACCAAGCCCAATTACTCCATTAATCGACATGGGTTTCTTACAAGCTTATTAGGTGTATTTAACACTCTCTTATTTTATCCTGAAACTTCCAACCCAAAATTCATGTGATTACAACTATCACTTCCTAAAAAGAAAGTTTCATCCTCAAAATTTACTTGGGTAGAAAATATATGAGTACTAAAGTTGCATATCCTCCTCGATTTCCCAAGTTGATTCCTCAGTCTCTTAGTTCCTCCAAAAAACCTTCACTAGCGAAATTCACTTGTTTCTTAATTCCTTGACCCCTCAATCCAAAATCCTTATTGGCTCTTCTTCATAGGTCATATCTTGACTTACTTTGATTTGCTCTAACGGAATGACATGGGAAGAGTTAGAGCGATAGCTCCTAAGTATCGATACATGGAATACATTATGGATGCACTCTATCTCTAGAGGAAAGGCTAGTCAGTAGGGTATGGGTTCAACTCTCTTAAGAATATCATAAGGTCCAAAGAAATACGGAGTTAAATTCCCCTTGTGCCCAAATCTAAGCACTCTCTTCCAAGGTGACACCTTGAGGAAAATTTTATCACCCACCTCAAACTCCATGCCTTTATGTTTTAAGTCTACGTATGATCTTTGTCGGTTAAAAGCTTCCTTTAAATGACACTGAATCAATTAGACTTTATCTTCTACTTCTTTGATCAACTTGGGGCCAATAAACTTTTTATCACTAAGCTTTGTCTAACAAAAAAGGCATCCTACATTTCCTTCTATATAAGGATTCACAAGGAGTCATATGAATGCTTGACTGATAGCTATTGTTGTACGCGAATTCGACTGATGGAAGTTGGTCCTCCCTATTACCCTCAAGGTCTAACATGCAACACCTAAGCATGTCCTCTGAAATTTGAATTACAAGCTCGAACTGACCACCGATATGCGAATAGAAAGCGAAACTAAAAATATAATCGAGTACCCAATGCCTTGTGAAGTACTTTCTAAAACGTCGTTGTGAACTGTGGATCTCGATAGAATATAATTGATATCAATACACTATGCAATCCCACATCTCCTAGTCATACTATCTATCCAACATCACTAGGGTGAAATTCATTCAAACCGAAAGAAAATGAGAAACTTTGGTTGATCGATCGACTACTACCCAGATTGCATCATTCGTGTCACTAGTAACCCAATCACAAAATCCATGGTCACACTATCCCACTTCCATTGCGAAATATGGATAGGCTGAAGCAACCCTAATGCAACTTAATGTTCTACTTTAACTTGTTGACAAGCCAAGCACGTAGACACGAACTAAGATATTTCTTTATTCATACTTGACCACCAATGCAATTGGCAAAGGTCTTAATAAATCTTGTTTCCTCTTGGTTGAACTAGGAATAGATTACAATGCACCTCACTAAGGATTTTGGTTCATAACTCTTTGTACGTAGACTATATGTATGCACAA